TCGGTGCATCAGCAGTAATGCGGTTGATGTACTGGCCTGTTGTGATGAAGAAAGACCTGAGCCGAAAGGCAAATCTCTCGATTTACTGGTCATTCTACGTTCCTACTCTCACCTATGGTTATGAGCTTTGGGTCATGACCGAAAGGACAAGATCTCGGATACAAGTGGCCGAAATGAGTTTCCTTCGCAGGGTGGCAGGGCGCACTCTTATAGACAGGGTAAGGAGCTCTGTCACCCAGGAGGAGCTCGGAGTAGACCCGCTGCTCCTCCACATCGAAAGAAGTCAGCTGAGGTGGCTCAGGTATCTGTTTTAGATGCCTCCAGGACGCCTACATAGGGAAATGTTCAAGGCTTGTCCCACTGGGAGGAGGCCTCGGGGAAGACCCAGAACACGCTGGAGGGACTATGTCCCTCGGTTGGCCTGGGAATGCCTCTGGATCCCCCCGGAGGAGCTGGAAGAAGTGTCTGTGCAAAGGGAAGTCTGGGGTTCTCTCCTAACCTGCTGCCCCCGTGACCCGGCCCCGGATAAGCGGATGAAAATGATGATGATGATTTCCATGACTTTTCCAAAACTTTGTGGGTTTTTCTGTTTTTCCAAAACTTTTTCAGGCCTGGAAAATGCCATGTTAAAATTCCATGACTTTTTCAGGTTTTCCATGACCGTATGAACCCTGTACAGAAAAATATTTCTACAATATCATTAGTCATGCAGGGCTTCTGCAAGTTTTACCAAGTCAAGTTGAAGACTTTTTAAAGCCTTTTCAAGACTATTCATTCATTCATTCATTCATTCATTTTCTTTTTGGCTTAGTCCCATTATTATTTTGGGGTCGCCACAGCGGAATGAACCGCCAACTTATCCAGCACGTTTTTATACAGCGGATGCCCTTCCAGCCGCAACCCATCACTGGGAAATATTAAAGACTAATATGAATGAAATTTCAGACTCTTACAGGCCTAAATGCTAAGGATTTTCTTCTAATGCAAATTTTTTGTAATCGTCCCACCCCACAAAAATGTCATTTAGTAATTTCTTAGGCACATTTTTTATATAATGTGTCAAAACATCCAAACTCTAGTTTAAAAAACAAAAATCGATGATAAACTATAATGTTTCCACAACAGTCTGTCTAGGTCAGTATCCTCAAGACAAAGTTATAAATACTGTACATGGAGAACTTTTAAACAACTGCTATTTTAAAAGAATATAATTAATAAATAAAACTTATGGTAAAGGATTTATTGCATTGTTGGTGACTAGATGAGTGTTGAACTGACTGGGTAGCTTTACATGGTCATAGGAACAAATTAAGACCTGTTTAAATTGATTTCACACAATATTTCAATGAACTTTAGATTCAGCTTTTGAAAGTTGAGACATTTTAAGACTTTAAGACCCCACCTACCAAATATATGTGCATTATTTAAAAGAGTATATGTTTTTATATGGCAATTAATAGCATATTTCAGCTAACAGGAATTGTGAGATTAAGAACAAACACACACATACAGAGCGGAGAAAAAAAAAATAGTCGAGAAGTAAAGTCACCCCATCAGGCAGTTTTAATTCAACACATTCAGTTCAATCCAGCTGTAATATACCACTACTGTAACATCACAGCTCCATATAGTAACCACACATATAAATGACTGCAAGTCATTCTGATATGCTTACAGTACTCGGATCAAACGCCGCCAGCGTCCCCTTGAACACACTCGCAAAAAAGTGCAACAGTGAAGAGTCAGTGCTCGTTATTAAAAATGTAAAGATTACAACAAAAAAAAGAGAGTGTCATTTGCTATATATCTCCATTCTGCAAGCTTGAGTTTTCTGTTATTGCACAGTGTGAGAGACAGAAAACCTCAGTCATGCTAGAAAACAGTCAGCGAGTTATTGCTCTTTTTTTTTTTTTCCTAGTGTCAGCCGAATGAAAATGCTTTTTCTTTTTGGGAGGAGGAAATGGAGTTTCTCCTTATTACCATGTGCTCATGCTTTCAGAATACATATTTTATGTTTGTAAAATGTCATACAGCTGACTTATAAAGCTTTAAAAACCCGATGCCCAAATTATGAAAGATGCACAATGCAATTTCCCAAGAAAATAGATTATATTTTGATTAATTATTATACTAGATTACAATACCTAACAAGTCTTGTCGCCTATTCAGGTTTTAGGAACAACAAATAATAACTTGACTTCTAGTTGATCATTTGGTATCAGAAGTGGCTTATATGAAAGGCAAAGGCCTCTAGATTACACTTATTTCAGCAAAATTAAATATGATCTTTATGATTTTTAATTAAGGCAGAAGGATCTGACTTTGCTTAGACAAAAGTCTCGTCACTTAACAGAAATAACGTACAGTATAGAATATAAAGTCATGCTGCAGTGGAAAAAGGAATGAATATTGTGTATGACTCCCATGAGCTTGGAGGACTGCATCCATAAGTCTCTGCAATGACTCAAATCACTTAATAAAGTCATCTGGAATGGCAAAGAAAGCGTTCATGCAGGACTCCCAGAGTTCATCAAGATTCTTTGGATTCATCTTCAATGCTTCCTCCTTTATTTTACCCGAGACATGCTCAATAATGTTGATTTCTGGTGGCTGGGCTGGCCAATCCCGGTGCACCTTGATCTTCTTTGCTTTCAGGAACCTTGATGTGGAGGCTTAAGTATGAGAAGGAGCGCTATCCTGCTGAAGAATTTGCCCTCTCCTGTGGTTTGTAATGTAATAGGCAGCACAAATGTCTGGATACCTCAGGCTGTCGATGTTGCCATCCACTCTGCAGATCTCTCACATGCCCCCATACTGAATGTAACACCAAACTATGATTTTTCCTTCACCAAAATTGACAGATTTTTTGTGAGAATCTTGGGTCCATGCAGGTTCCAGTAGGTCTTCTGCAGTATTTGTGATGATTGGGAAGCAGCTCAACAGATGACTCATGGGAAAAATCTACCTTCTGCCACTTTTCCAAATGATCAACTAGAAGTCAAGTTATTATATGTTGCTCTCACAACTGGGATCAATGACAAGACTTTGGTCAGGTCATGTAGACTGAAAGGTTAAAAACTGAAATTGCATTTTAGCACCTATTTTTTCATTTATGACAGATGTTATATAAAAAATGTTAAAGAAAACAGACTGACGTCCCTGTATGCGAGTAACCTGATATCATAGAAGCATTTCCAGATCTACATTCACTAAGTTCATCAAAAACAGTAATAAAGCTCTGTCGTAGTGCATTATCTGCTATCAAAACCGCTATTTTAACTAGTAACCACACAGCTCTCTCAGTTTCATTTCAGAGTTTTTAGCCATCCATTCCCTTTTAGTTTTATTAACGCATATGTTCGGTATTATTGTAGATTTTCTTAAGACTATGTTAAAATCATTCATAAATCATTAATAAGGAGGGACGTGGCTTTGGAATTACACACAGTGTGAATCTCACATCATGTCTTGGTCATATTATATCCCAAAATCAAATTGGCATGGATAAATGAAGCTTTAGATTATTAAAATGTGTGCATTAAGATGTGAATTATAAAATATAAACTTTTCTTGCCTAAATTTTGGATATTTTATTTAAAAAAATGTATTTAGTATAAAATAAATGTGATACAATAAATACAAGCATGATGTTTATATTATTTGGTATTTAAATGTGACAGTAATTATTATGATTTTTACATTAAAGTAACGGGACAATATTTTAAATAGATAGTTCACCAAAAATAAAAATTGCTTGCCATTGTTATTTTTGACAATACAAAAAGTTGAGACTGTGGAATAAAATCAATAACATGGTCAATAACGTTAAGTTTTTCTGCTTAGACTGATCGTTTCGGTTCATAAGACCTTAATGTATTGCCAGGAGTCACAGATATTAATTTAGTTTTGCCTGTAATTTTTTTTCTAGTCTCTTAATGTGCTCATAGCCGTTTACTAGTTTTCCATAAATCACCAAAAACACATTTTCAGCTAAAAATCTTAATGATATAACTCAATTTTAAAGATGATCAAAAGTAATTCATTCCTTAACAGGGCTGCACAATTAATCAAAAAAAAGATCACAATCTCGATTCTACCCCCTACACGATCTTAATCCAGCATTTCTAAAATTCAGCCAATTATATTTTCAGGAGAGAAGCAAAAAGTCTTTACTTGTCCAAATGGTGTTGAAAGAGTCATATACTGTATTTATAAGGTTTAATTCACCATTCAACAAAAATGTAGTTTTTGTTTTCATGTAATGTAGTGTATTCGTAGCCATGATAAAACAAGCTAAAATAAAATAATGTTCAGTTTGTTGCACTGGGCGATCGTTTAGGAGCCGTGTGGGAAGTATGATTTGCATGTATGTTTTTTGTTCTCAAAGTGATGGCAGCCATGACATGAGCCGCACTCAGCAGTGGAGTTATGATCACGACAAGCATTTGATATGTTTTTTTTCATTCATAGCCAACACAAAGTGTTGTGCATGAAAATAAACGTGAAAGAGTGTTAGTATGACTACTCTTGCCTATATAAGGATGAATATAATGCAAGAAGGAATCTGATAATGATAAATGTCTTATTTTACCAGTGAATAAATATGATCTAATAATGTTAGCAATGAATGATTGCAAGCATATTTCTCAAACATAATAATTCAAATTCAGAATTATGAATAGCTGTATTCTGATGGCATCACTTTACTGTGCATTATTGACCAGGACAAATGAAAAGTCTATTTAAGCCCACCATTTCAAGTCCATACAAAATGAACCATTTTCACTAACAGTAGACCGACACATAGGCCTAATATGATTACTCTTGTTTTACCATATTTTTGAGAAATAATAATAATAATAATAGCTTACTCATATTACCTTTATTTTACATCCACAGAATTGTGAGAAAATCGGGAACTTTATTTTAAGCAAAATAATTTGTGATTCTCATTTTAGCCAGAATTGTGCAGCCCTTTTCCTTAATATAGTGTAATTTATTTAATGCATTAAAAATAATCAAATTTTATTTATTTAAAATATATTATATGTTTTATATATTAACGCATGATAAAGTATCATTTCTTTCATTTGATTCTGGGATCCAGTTCTGGTCAGATTTAGTGAGATTCACCAAACAACTCACTGAAAGCAGCATCACATTTTTGGCTTTTAGGCAGCCGTAACCCTGGACCAGCAGTCCTGTGACCTGGTAAAGACAGAAGTGTGAGTGTGTGTGTCTGTGTGCGTGACTTGTTTTTCCTATGAAGAGCAGTCACTTCCGTTGCAGACCTCTGGCATCTCTATGCTCAGCTTGTACTGGACCTTCTTCGAGACAAACCTGTAAACAGAAAGAAGAACAAACCTTGAGGTATGTTTACATAAAACTGTTATCTGCTAAAAATGGCAAACATTTTATTGGCCGTTGACTTATATGATATTTTGGGGCCCTGAAAATACAAACCCCTAAAAATGTGTTTGTCTATTTATTTATATAGCACATTAAAGGTAACACAGTAGCTTCAAAGTGCTGAAAAATACAAAGTAAGACATAAAAACAAACAGACAACATTAAAACATGCCACCAATGGGTAAGACTTTATTTTGATGGTGCCTATTGCACATTTTATTGAATAAAAGTTGCATCGCAACTACAGTACAAGCCAATTACTTCTCATTTGAGTATTAGGCCCCGTTTACACAATCGCGTTATAAGCAATGACTGTAAAAAATATGGACTACGCGACAGCCCCTTTTCCCATTGAACGCCTTGAGGGCAAAACGCCTGCTTGACGGGCACAAACTGTCGCAAAAGACTGCTGAAATTGGAGCCTTGACATGCGCAGAAGAACTGTCTGATGGAGCCAGAGGAGGAGCCGGGAAAATGAGTCGAGCTTCCAACCAAACGCTTTATGTAAAATCAACCACGCCCCCTAAACTTCTCAGCATGCGTTTGCTGTCATATCAGCACAAATGGATGTAAAAACGTTAACAAATATGAGGGTTTTATATATTCAATCCCGCATAACCTATTCGCGGCGTCGCGGGCTGATTCCGGCTCTCATGCGGCAGCGCCGGCTCGCTCGGCCGCCGCATCTGGCTCGATTGACTCGGGCTGGAATCGGGCAGTGAGTCCAGGCATCCGGAGTAGGTCCAGCAGAGGTAGTCAGTCTGAGCTCTGAGGGGTAAGTCTCTGGCAGGCGAGAATCTAGCCGGAACTGGCCCGAGTGTGTTTTGCTATCTGGGTGGTTAGGCGTGTATTAGCAAACTAATAAAGCCCGAAAAAAGCCCTGACCTTAGCGAATGAACAGGATCCACCAGGATCATGTATGTCAGAAACTGTAGTTTACTGCTGAACTCATTTTATCATGGTAAGATAACACAGAAATCGAAAAATAACACTTCAGTCTCCTGCCGAAGCTCAGACGCGCTGCTTTGAGAAACTGTCAATCACAGCTGTCAATCACGATGACACGCCCAGCATTAAATTACTGCTAAAAACAAACTGTTTACAAAAATGAGGATCTGCACCTATTTCAGCACAATAACCAGTGCCTTAATCGACCAGAACCATCTTTCGGGACATTTTATTGCAAGTGTAATATTTTTTTTTATTTGGGCTCAAGTCTCCTTCATTAACACGGAGGAGGCGGGCTTTATGACTTGTACTGCAGCCAGCCCCCAGGGGACGATCTAACGGCCGAGACTTTCACTCAAACGCAGGCTTGCGGCACACTTGGTTATAAGTTTTACTATGGTTACGCCATCCGTCCACACTACACCCAAGATTTCTAGAGCCAAAACGGAGCGTTTTATTATTTGAGTCTGAATGAAGGAGAACGAAAAGCTTTATTTTGAAAGAAACCTTTATTTCTTTTGTTGGCATATCTTTGTTTGTTAAATTGTATTTAATTAAATTCGGAAAAGTAATTTTGTACCAGATTGGTTGTGTTTATTATTTATATTAATTGGTATGAGGTTATGAGTTTCTGTTTAGGGTAAATTACAAATTAGAGCGATCTAATTGATAAGAATTCAGGGCTCTTCCAACTCCATAGGGAAAGGGTGCTAAATTTAGAAGATATAAACATCTAACATTGCATTTATTCTTCTGACCAATCAGCTGCTTTCTAGTATCGGACATGCCCCACCCCATCAAGACGCTTCTCATTTGATGAGCTTGAGCTTGAGCACTCTCACTGGCAGAGCTGTGAGAAAAACAAAACACCATTGGCTGTTTTTTTAAAGGGGAGGAGCTACTCTATGTCCTGCCCTGTCTTTGTGTTTCAGTTCAGATTACAACAAACATTGCACAAAAATGCACATTTCAAAGCAAATCAACAGAGCTTAAAAGGAAAACTTGTTTAAAAATCCTTCAGAAAAAACAAAACAAAAAGCGCTCTGGGGTAAGTTCAAATGTATGGTCGGTGCTCTTTGGGTAAGGGATTCATCAAATCTGCAACAAGAATCAGTCCAAGGCACTCGAAAAATCCATTTAGCTGATCTCCAGGTCTAGTTAAGCATAGATCTTTGAATCCGATTAAACCAATAACATCTCGCTCAAAAATGCCCAAAAAAGTTTTGATAATTTTCCTAATTAAAACTCAACTCTTCTGTAATCACATCATGATGGAAAAAATAAAAGTTGCTATTTTCTAGCATCTGCTGCAGCCATGACACAGCAACAAAGTTCCTTGATTATTATGCTGGAATAAAAGATTTTGTACTTTTATTTAAAAGATTATATGACATTTAAAATTTATTTGAAAAAGATTTTATAATATTGTTATTTCCCCCAATTTAATACAGTACTTTCAGAATCACCTCTGTTTGAAATGACACAATCTATTCCTGTTTAAATGAAATAAGCTGCAGGTCGAGCAGGTTTAAAATGACAGATATGTTGCTATGACAACAACAAAACTACACTGGATCATTTCAAATAGTCAATCAAATTCGCATACAAAGAATGTTTTTTTTTTTTTTTTATAGTTGTCATCTATAAGCCATTTCAATGTGGTGATGTCATTGGTGCATGAACATTTCCTGCTAGTTATCAAACAATTTCATAGCTGTAACAAGAGGCAATTAGTGATGGGAAGTTCAGATCATTTTACTGACTTGGATTTTTGAGTCTTGTTCATCGAGGTGAACGAATCTTTTTTCGAGTCATTTCGTTCATTTGGTTCAATTTGCCAAAATATTAGTAAAATGTTACGAATTGCTTCCAAACACATCTACAACTAGCCCAAAATGTTGATCACACGACAAATAAGTCATAAATAGAATACTGTAAGAAGGAGAAAATAATAAATCAATGTTTACCTGCTGTTTTGTCTATGAAGGTATTGTTGTGTCTTTGCTCAGCTCAGCTCTTCACGTCTTCAAATGTCAGGGGTTTGTTCACGTTACACTGACAGTCATATATAATCTTAACCAATGTACACATGCAGTCGATAGAAGCCATGAGAATTAGTTCACCTTTCATCACGTGACAGAATGACTCAAACCCGAGGACTCGAAAGATAAACGGTTCAATTCTTTTTCCGGCTCTAAACGCATATGATTGGTCCGTGAGGAACGATTGACTCAGACCCGATAGACGACTCGAGAGATGAACGGTTCAATTCTTTTTCCGGCTCTAAACGCATATGATTGGCCCCTGATGAACGAATGACTCAGACCCGATAGAGGGCTCGAGAGGTCAACGGATCATTTTATTTTCTGGCTCTAAACGCATATGATTGGCCCATGAGGAACGAATGACTCAGACCCAATAGACGACTCAAGAGATGAACGACTCAAGAGATGAATGGTTCATTTATTTTTCCGGCTCTAAACGCATATGATTGGCCCGTAATGAACGAATGACTCAGACCCGATAGAGGACTCGAGAGGTCAACGGATCAATTCTTTTTCCGGCTCTAAATACATATGATTGGCTTCTGCCTTTCTGAGATGAACAACTCAAAAGACTTGAAATGAACGATACCACCTGCCCAAATGTGCGCACGTGCGGATAAACGAATCACTCCCTGAGAGGACTCGTAGTTCCCGAATCATATTGAAGATTCGTTCAAAATGAACGAATCGTTCATGAAAGACCCATCACTAGAGGCAATTCAATCATACCTTAATATTAAAACAAAATGGTTCCTCAAAATGGTCTATAAAAATATACAGGAAACACTTTACATTGTTGGTTTAAAAGAAAACAATAAAAGATCTTATGGAGGGAAGTACAAACCTGGAGAAGGAGTTGTCGAAGATAAGTGTGTATTGTCCAGGGTTTCTGACCTTTAGCTGACCCTGAATTGTTTCCTTGTGAGATCTACATCTGGTCAGAGGAATCAGAACCTGAAAAACATCAACCTGCTTTGAGGATTCATTCATCTGAAAAAAGCTACAAATGATCACAAATATCAATGATCAGGACATCATAAAATAACAAAAGCTATCTAGTAAAAGGTTTTCTTCCAAACAGCACCTGACTTTATCCTAACTGACTTTGCTTCTAAAAACACAAGATGCGGTGCTCAGAAATGTTTTAACAAAGCGCAGCGTAGCACGAGGTTCAAGTGACGCGATATTATTAACATGATGTAATAATTACATCAAGAATCTATTAGAAATAGGTAAACAATGAGGCATGATAAGCACTTCAAGATACATAACATAGCCACAATGAGCAACTTCACCATGATATAATGCTATATAAAATAGTTGTCTAGTTGTATATAAAATATTTTTACTATAAAAAGAAATTTGCAATGGTTGTCCTGCATCTGAGCTCTTCTGATTGGTCTATTTCCTTTGGACCTGACAGTGATGAGCTGCACTGCGTGTGAAACTTGACACAGCATCAAAAATGCAGCATTCATGTGCTTCACAAGATGCAAGCCTAATGATCACATGTCTCTCCATCACATGCTTACATTAAAAACAATAGAAAACTTGCACTGGAGAGGAAAAACACATTCAGTGAACGACCCCTAATTCTCTTATTATAAACAGTTAAAAGCAAAATTTGCAGCCTCCATCAATCAAATATTTCCCAAGTGATGTATAGCACATTATTAAACATAATTGTTTTAATAAATGATTTATTTTGCCTTTGCCATGATGACAGTACATAATAATTTACTGGTTATTTTACAATATACTGTAATTCAGTTTTACGTGCAAAACTTAGTATTAATTTATTAGGATAACTTGGCAAGTTAGGTTAATTAGGATACAGTATTGAACAAAGATACTGTAAAGATACGGGTAGATTTCGGTTGTGGCGGGTTAGACAGCCACTCCCACTAGCCACTTTGGCAGGCTGAAACTTTTTTTTAAGTGGCTAGTGCTCGGTCGACATCACTAGATCAGTCTGTTTATGACTGTTTGTCTATATGCGTGCAAATGTGATCTTAGAATCGAGAAGCAGCACGCCTGAAAAAAAACAGCTTTTCACAGGAGCAAAAGAAAGTCGTGGAATAACGAATGAGAAGATCACGCACACGGTGGGACAGGTTTTCCTCACTCACTGACGAGGGCTTTAGTGTAGTGTGATTTAATGAGCGTGAGTGTTTAAAAGCTCCTGTGCCGTTTTCTCACTCGAAGCAATTGTGCCAGGAAAATGAAACTAGTGCGATGCTCGTGCACCTACAGTCCTTCAAGGGCTTGAGATTCTTTGTAAGCAGCAGCAGTTGTTGTCGCTTTAACCATTTTTTTTTAACATATTATTAATTGGCTTAACATTACCCGTGTGTGCGGCATCATCCTTTCATTATCGTGCACAGAATGTATTTCACCCGCTTTCTTTTGCTTGCTGTTATTTTTGTGTATATGGTTTAATCATCATCCTTTACAATAATATTGCTTTAATATGTTGTTGTATGCATAGTTAACTGGTGATCTAGGATCTTGAGCCAGAACAGACCACTGTGCATAGGTTTAGATGCATGAGAATATCTATTTAAATGTCAGCTGTTTTGTTGAATAAATAGTGTATGTATACAGCAGTATTTTGCTTATTTTGATAGATTATTTAAAATTTGTGGCAAGGAAATAATTAGTTTGGTGTGGCCAGAGAAAAAAAAAGTAAATCCTTATTGTGCTGAGCCCTGAAAAGTCCTGTGAAAGAAAACTAATTGCAATGCGTCACTTTTTTTTTTAAAAGAATAACCCATTTGTTCATGCTCATTGAGTAAGCTCATAAACAAAAAACAGTTAAATGAACGAGGAGGCAAGTGGAAAAAACTAAATCTAAATGAAGTCATTTTAGCATGCCGCAACCCATGCCAAAGTCAAATTTATGCATATAAAATATATTTGCCCAAACAAAATTGTGGCTAGTGAAAATGGCGAGTGGCTAGTAACAATGGAAAACTTCAAGTAAAAAAAGTTATTGTCAAGCCCTGTGTATTAACAACTGTATTATTCCAGCCAAAAAAAAGAAATAAAAGTTTATCCAGAAGAACCAAATATGTAACTTGACATATTATGAAAAAAATGTCCTTGCAACACGGGAAATATATATATTTATTTATATATATATATATATATATATATATATATATATATATATATATATTGGGGAAACGGTATCAGAATTTCACGGTACGGTAATACCTCGGTATGAATGTCACGGTACAGTATTTATTGAATCATTTACAGGAAAAACAAAACTTATGAAAATACTCCAAAAAAGTGCCAAAAGTGTCAATGACATACAAATTAGCCATCTATCTGTAAGCTTTGAAACAGGAACTTCAATTTTAATAACAAAAAATTATTAAACCATGTAAAAAAATTAAGTTTCAATTTAGTATTGTTGAAAACTCATCACATTCAACATTTAATCACTCACTCACTCACTCACTCACTCACTTAGAGATGGGTTTTAAGGAAAATTATCATATAACTATAATCTGGTAAAAGCTGGTATCTCTGGGCATTTACAATGTCCCCTGCAACAGAAAAAAACCCTCTCATTTGGGACTGAGGTTTCTGGGACAGAGATATGACTTGGCCCAGGTTGACAGCAGTGGGTAACGCTGTGCATTGTCTTTCCCCCACTTGAGAGGACAAGACATGAGTG